CCTTATCTAAACTCAGCAGTAGACATTTTCCATTCTGTTGTGAATATGGACAACCAGAAACATATCAGCTTCTGAAACATTTCTATACGTACACTGTGTCCCCATGGCCCAGCCTTCCGCCATCCCCACAGCCCCAGGAGTACACCTCCCCTGTGGCAGCCAAAGCCAGATAGTGGTGACCATCAGAATGGGCAGCAATTTTCACAATGTTTCTGGAAGCAAGACCCTGGACCAGCTGTGGAGCCTAGAAAGATAAAGTCAGGAATACCATTAGTCAGTCATAGTAATGAACAATGAACACGGGATGACTCTCCCATTCATATTCTCCCTGAACAAATATACTCAAATGAATAGACTAGAAATCTTCAGGGCTCTGATCTGTTCTCCATTCCAGCACCAAGAGAACAGTAAGAATCCTCCAAGTGATCCATGGAATAACAAGTGCTAGGTGGGAATCCCTAGGGTAGGCAGCCTTTGTAACACAGACACGTAACTAACATACTTTCCTTAAATGAGAGCACACATGGCCCAGTGCACCACAATCCTCATCAGACCCCATTCTTTTTCTGTTAACTGCCATACATGTGAAAAATGGGTTTGCAAAAAGCAACCATGATTAACAACAGGAATTACCTGATGGAGTTCTTGATCTTAAAAACTCAAAACCCTGATAATAATTGTAACTAAAATAATTTAATATGACTAATAATATACAATGAACAGACACCAATGACCAAGAACATTAGACTGTGTTGCATCTACAGCAGGGACCATACCACTGCAGGAGGCATGCAGGAACACTACACTCAGCACCTACCAGCATGTCACTGTTGTAAGCCTGTGTGTATACACGGCCGTTGCGGGACAGGATCAAGAAGCGTTTTTCTGCACAGGCCACCTGCATTACCCCAAGACTGGCAAGGCCTTCACACTGGATTGGACCAATCACGTTGGCATAGTATTTCCATCCTATTAACCCCCAACCTATGACTTCCTGCAATGATCCCTGTAAGAAAAGAACACATGTAAACATTTTCTTTAGAGTAAGAGAACACCCAGGACCAATACAGAGATGCTTCATAAGCTAAAAACAAAACAAATAAAGAGACTGATTGAAAACATCAAAATAACTCAGAACATTTCACATTACCTCAGTTAAATGGTAAATTCCCTGGGTTATTGGTCCACAATATTTCATTTTAAGAGTACCAATCAAAAGCTGGCCCTTCAACATATTTTTCAATGCTCAAACCACATCAGGTTATTTTTGTGTCAAAACTGGAGAAAATCAAAACCCTAAGCATAAGGCTGGGCGAAAATGCTTTTATTGGTGATGGTGACAGGAATGAAGCTATTTGGGAACAGCCTGAAGATAACTAGCCCATGCTGAGTTACCTCACTAATGCTACAAAGGCACATATGCATGCACACTCAGAGATAAACAGAGAAACATGTACCAGATCACCCACCACAGTATTACTGGGGCAGCAAAATTCTATCAATAATTCAGGTGTCCATTAAAAAGAGAATTATTAAGAAAATGATGCATTACCAGCCATGGTAGCCCATGTCATTCATCACAGCACTCAAGAGAGAAGGATAGGCAGGTGTTATGAATTCAAGGCCAAAGCCTGGTCAATGTAGCTTCCAGGCCAGATAAGGCTATATAATGAAACGATATCTCAAAATAACAAAAATAAAAACAACTGCAGGAGGAAGTGGTAGAGAAGGCGGAGAGAGAAATCTGACAGGTAGAGTTAAACACATAACATATGTATTAAAACAGCTTATAAAAATCAAGAGACCATCTCTATTTACTAATACAGAAAGATATCACTGTATCTATTTGGTGAGAAGAAAAAGCTAAAGAAAAAAGAAGCCAAAGCGTAACATGGTACCACTAATATCTCCATTCCAGAGAACAGTGAAAAGTTACAGACCAAGCTTGGCAAAACTGGATCAAGCAGGCGGGATACAGAGCATGTGAATGTCAAGAGAGCAAACAATAGTGCTAGTGCACTGTCATATACAATCCTGATTTTGAACCATGTAGAGATAGACCACAGACAGTCAAACAGAAAGATATACACTATAAATAAATAAAATTATTAAAATTATATATAATTAAATCATTATATATAATTATTATATATTAATACATATACATATACATACATATATATATTTCCCCAAGTAAAAAGCTTGGATTGAAAGCTAGGATTAATCTGCATAATCTTGACAGGAGCACTACCACCCCAAAGGTTCATCTTCCATTTTCTCATGGCTACAATAGGAGGAACATTGTGATCAGCAGCTATGTTCATATGTGATGTCTTTGATGGGCAGGTATGTCCAGGTTCTTGTCAGACAAGCCAATCACTACTCCTACCATATTATTATTTATGCATTCTACATAAAATATGACTGTGTACCTCAGTGACAACATATATGATTAGAGTGTACAAGGCCATGGTTTAATTTCTAGCACTAGTATCAGAAAAGATTCTCTGGCATTTCCCTACACATGGCATGAAGCCTGCTGTCATGTTGACAAAGGTAAGCTCTCTGAGGTCCCCAATTCAGCCTCTAAGCCCTGAGTACTTCTCATGAGTAGATGAAGTTCTGAATAAGTACATTATTGACATGAGCACAGCCAAGTCAAGGACCCAAATGCTTCAGATTCAAGAAAAAAAAGAAAGCCTTCCCCAGTCAGAGCAATATTATTCCCAGTGCAGGCACAAAGTGTGGATTCCACTTCCTCCTCTCTCCTAGATGTTTACAACCCTGAGACTGCTCCCCTGCAGAGACCTCCCACTGAGACTGACTTAAACTCTCCTCCCACACTGTACTTACACCTACTCAATAAATGGCATCAGTTTCAGGGCTGTAGATGCCCTCTATTTAAGTGAGCACAAACCACTTGATCAAAGCATTTCTGAATGTGTCTGTTTCCTTCAGAGCCCACTCAGCACTGACCCATACTCTGAACTACAGGCACATTTAAACATTCTAACCATCATTATCAGAAATAGCAAATATGGCACATACACAGAATGAGAATCTATAAGAACTCCTAATTAAACACCACACAAATAATCCTAAGCTGGTTGGAGTTCAGTGTTTGTGATGGTTAGTTTTAACTATCAACCTGACAAAATCTGGAATGGCCTAGGAGGTGAGCCTCTTGACATGCCATAGAGAATTATCTTGCTATTTAAATTGATGTGGGAAGACTCATCTTAACTGTGGGTGGACCTATTCCCTGGGCAGTGAACTATCCGTGGAAAAAGCAAGCTGAGCATTAGTAAGCGTTCACTGCTCTCTTGATTACTGACTGTGAATGAAACGTGACCAGCTGCTTCAAGCTCCTGCTGCCATGTACACTCAAATTGTGAGCTACAAGAAAAACTCTTTCTCCCTTAGGTTGCTTTTGACAGAATTTTAAAAGGTCTTTTTTTGGTGGGGTTTTTGTTGTTGTTGTTGTTGATGATGATGATGTCATTTTTTGTTCTTTGTTTTTAACTCACACCAACAAGAGAAACTAAAACCATGTTAAAGTACCTGCCTAGCACATTAAAAGTTGGAGGGAGGGTTGCAGTGCTAGTGCTGGGTTAGTTTGTTTGCACTCGCTTCTGGAACGATGGCGGAGGGGGATAACCGCAGCAGCAACCTGCTGGCCGTGGAGACTGCAAGCCTTGAAGAGCAGCTGCAAGGCTGGGGAGAGGTGATGCTGATGGCTGACAAAGTCCTTCGATGGGAAGAGCCTGGTTTCCACCTGCTATCATGGGTGTGGTTTCCCTGCTTTTCCTAATTATCTATTATCTCGATCCATCTGTGCTGTCCGGTGTTTCCTGCTTTGTTGTGTTTTTGTGCCTGGCTGACTACCTTGTTCCCATTCTAGCACCAAGGATTTTTGGCTCTAATAAATGGACCACTGAACAGCAGCAAAGATTTCATGAAATCTGCAGTAATCTAGTAAAAACGCAGAGCTGTGGGCTGGTGGAAACGCCTCTTTTCGCTAAAGGAAGAAAAGCCTAAAATGTACTTCATGACCATGATCGTTTCTCTTGCTGCGGTGGCTTGGGTGGGACAGCAAGTCCACAACCTGCTTCTCACCTACCTGATTGTGACTTTTGTGCTGTTGCTTCCTGGACTAAACCAACATGGAATCATTTTGAAGTACATTGGAATGGCCAAAAGGGAGATAAACAAACTTCTCAAGCAAAAAGAAAAGAAAAATGAGTAGTATGGCTGCCATGGAGTGTGCCCTGGCCCTGGGAGCAGGTGTCCAGTGCTGTCTGGACACCTGGAATGTTACAGTGGCTCTTTGCTTCCCTCATTCTGCCCTTGTTAATAGAGATTCTCACAGGCCAGGCTTTGTGCTGTGTCTAGTGCCAGGTATAGCTGGGTACATTCCTGTCAGTATGACTCGTTTTATTGAATTTTTATTTTTGACAACTTTCTTTAAAATACTAAAGTGGTGAACTTTACTGTTTTGTATAGTGAACTGTGACTTTGCATAATGGTTGATGTTTGCTTTAGCTATATTCAAGGTAGTGGTCTGTGGCTACAGGAAGCTGGTTCTACTGTCTGCTTCCACAGTCTGCTTGACAAACTGTCTTTGTGAGTTTAGAGATCGGGTTTACCACTTTTGATGAAGAGACCACTGAAGACTCATTCCTGATTTTCCACTGTGGGAGAATACCCATGGAATTAGATAAGAAGTTAATTCCACACTCTAGTGTATGTGAGCTCCTCTCTCGTACGAAATGCAGCAGTTTCAGGGAGCATTGCCCCTTTGTTCCCATAAGGAATCTGACAGGCTTTGACGGACCTCTCATTCCCTTTTCACTGCTTCAGGTTAGTTCTAATCCATACAACTTTTGAGCAACAAGCTTCCAGAAGATTGTATTTGGGGATTTTAGCAGTATCTTTGTTCCAGATTTTCAGCTGACTTAAAATGTTTTTGACTTTACTGTAAGGCCAGCCAGGGATAAAAGTATCCTTTGTTCACTGAGTAGAAAACTAGATTATCTATTAATATTTGAGACCAGAAAAAAAAAGGACTTTAAAAGTAAGCCTGGAAATTCTCATTTGTTTTCGTATATTGGCTATGTTTCAGTAACTCCAGTTTTTCACTTGAGAGATAGTATTTACTGGTGTTTGACTTTCCCCTTGATATTTCTCAGAAAAATGCAGGGCTGCAGCTGAGAGCAGACTGCTAACTGGTGACTCTGGTCTCCATAGCTTTTGTATCTCCTTATAAGCTTACTGTGATCACATGCCCTCTCAGTAGGTAGGCTTTTAGAGCAGTTGAAATCTGCAGAACTGAACCTCTGAGGGCCAAAATAGGACACATTTGGGAACAACTCCGTAACCCATGAACTAGCTGTAACACAGTTTGTGGGTCCATCGCACTGATGCTGTGAGGCCTGCCCCTGTCTGTGTCTGCCTCTGTTCTCCCACTGCCCTAGCACTGTAAGCAGTAGCATGTGTGCGTTTGGTTTTTAATGTTTCATGACACCCACTTTGATTTTACATGTTTTCTTGTAAATAAGCCTGCCTTCCTACCTGGAATTTGTGTGTATATGTGTGACTAATAGATGTTCTACCAGTTAACTACTTTGGCAGTTTTAATCATTTCTTCTACTTTGTTTTGTGGTAAAGGGAGAAAAATTAAAACACAGTTGGAACCTCAAAAAAAAAAAAAAAGTTGGCAGGATTCTTATCATTACACAAGAAAGAAGTGCTACTCTAGCACATACCTTATGAGATGTTGGAGAGCTACACAGAGGAGGCATACAGGGTGTAGCCAGACGGTCTAAATGAGCCATGACAACAACTGCAGTTTGTCGTAAATCAATGGCAAGTTCATTGTCTTGTGGAAGAGTAAGGTACCTTAGGAAACTCTCATTGGGGCTTAGAGGGCCAGATAAAAGCTAGATTAAGAGACAGAAATAAACATAGTCAGAAACAGTGGAAGAAAAAAATACCATCATCAACTTCTAATCACTATTTATGTTTTGTATTTAGCTATGCACTTCCTGTGTTATCTTATTCTAGCCATCAAACAACAATGTTGATTATACAACTACACTATACATTTTCCCTCTATATATGGCATATAAACACATATACTACTGACTGTACTATCTATGTACTTTTGTACCACACATGTGCAAACTTCATATGAACTGTTAACACAGCCAAACCACCCTTTAGAAAGACCCTGATAAGGGAACTGGAAAAATAGTTCAGTCCATACAGTGCTTAGCAAGAGGACCTGAACTCAATTCCCAGAACCCATGTTAAAAAAAAAAATGAAAAAGTCAAACACAGCGCTGTGCCCTTGTAATCCCTGATAAGGGAGGTTGAGACAAGGTCACTGGCCAGCCAGTCCGATCTACCTGAGGAATTCTAGACAAGTGAGAATAAAGTTGGTGGCTCTTGAGGAATAAAACCCAAAATTGACCTTTGCTATCCACACAAGATAAAGACAGAGAGAGACAGACAGACACACACACATACACACACACACACACTCACTTTTTTTAATTATAGAAACACTGAGCAAGCTCTCTGAAACAACACAGTACTTCAACATGCCTTTGAAAGAAAGCTAAAAACAAAACACAACAAAACCCCTTATTTTGATATGAATATTGCCCACTTTAAAGAGGGATTTTGATTTATTTTCTGGTTTTGCAGTCTGAGAGATTGAACTTATTGTTAGGCAAGTACTCTAAGAGTCTTTAACAACCTCTACCCTACCTATTTGAAATTTGGAGACAGGGTCTCCTTAAGTTGCCTGGGCTAGTATTAAATTTTTGATCCTTCTGCCTCAGTCTACCAAGTAGCTAAGATTCCAGGGTCTGTACCACCTGGTCTGGCTGTCGACTCTAACAAAGCTTTATTTTATTTACAATTAGCATCATATTTCTAATTCTTATAAAAACAGAGTCTTATTATCACTTAGGAGTATCAACACAAAAATCAGGCCAAAGGATTATGAACACCTAACTCTTTAGAGAAAAGACAAAAAAAAGAGCCAAAGTCCTGAGATTTCACCAGTATTTGTTTACATTTACACAAAACAGCCTAACACAGCATCTAAAATTCACTCCCAAAACAGTGAAGCAGCTTCTGGGAACACACAAGACACTAAAACACACAGAGAGACTGCCACAGCTGACTCAGCAAAGAAGTCTGCAAAGTCAACATGGCAGGCAGTACACAGGTCTCTCTAGAAGGTCAGTGGATCCACACCAAACCATACTCGTCTTCCTAAATTCAAATCTAAAAGCTGCCATATAGAAGAATCTCTATAGTGTGCACGATACTCTATTTTTATCTTGTCAATATAGTATGTGTGACCCGCCCCATCTCACTTGCTCCTATCACCAGGAAACAATACACTCAAAAGATACCTACTCTCATGGAAGTACACATTCTGACTTACCTAAAATAAAACCAGGTCTTTGATATTATCAGACTAAGAAAGGGTCACCTATACAAACAACCCCAGGTGATACTCACATGCATGTCGCTCTCTGTGTGTGGCATGTCCTTACTGCAGATGATGCTCTGGAACCGCTGTAGCAGAGGCAAAAGAGGAGCACTGGTGCCCTGGGCAGACCGCTCATTGTCAGTTTCCTGTGCCCCACTGTCCCACAGCTGAAGCAACAACAGGATAGCAGACAACATTTGGCTGAAAAGGAAGAATATTTACTCTCTAGTAAAAACAAATTAATGTTTGCCATACCCCATCAAAACTAAACAAATATTAGAATTGCAGAACAATGATATGAAAAGATGCTAAAATTATGTTATGGAAATAATTCTGGGCAATTAAGTCAGTGAATTAATGCCAAGAATTTAGCAAAAGACAATTGTCTATTAAAAAGCATTAAAAAAAAAAAAAGCTAAGGCATTGAAGTAGTACTTTGTACATAAAACTTCTAGGATCTATTTCAGAAAAACTAAAGTTATTTAGAGAAAAATATCTTAAAAGAAGAGCTCTTAGATGACTAGATAAATTAGCCTAAAAAGAAATAAAAACAACAAAATGGACTAGCACAAGAATAAACACAGGGGGCCAGAGATGACCCCTACCCAGCATCACAAGGCCCAGGTAGACAGAGCAAGCCTGAGACAACCCCCACCCAGTGCCACACAGCCTGGGTGGTCAGAGCATGTCCAAGCTGACCACCACCTGGCACCACACAGCATGTGCAGGGCACAGCACTCTGAGATGACCCCAGGCACCAAAAGGCCCCTGGTGCCACTAAGATGAGCAAGTAAGTAGTGGAGTGGAAAGAGAAGCAGAATGGTGTGTGCACAAGGAAGAAAGGCAGAACTAGAGACTCAAGGGGAGGGACAGCCTGATGCAAGTAGCTGGCGATGCCATCTTAGGCCATGAGGAAGTCCTGGCCCATGCTACAGCTGAGGGCCATATTTGGGTCCATGAACCTGTAACAGTGGGAGTCCACTGCCACCAAAGGCCATGTAGATGTCCCTGGTTTAGGCTGCTGCCTAGGGCCATGTTGATGTCTGAGAGCTGTGCAGAGCTGGCCCTACCCCTCATCAGCTGTAACTGTAGTTGGCCCCACCCCTTGACTGGGCAGTACTGGAGAGCCTGCCCAGGTGTAAGTAAACAAGAGCTGGCCCCTATGACATGAGGGAGGGAGAGCTGTCAGGCTGAACAACTCAGCTACCACTCAGGCCCAGATCTAGGGCTTTGGCCCACCTCAACAGTTACTCCATCTATGAACTGCTGAAGGGGCTGCTCCTGAAGATCCAAAGATGCAGGCTCTCCATGACTCAGGACAAGAACAGGATATCTGAGAAGAGTTCCACTGAGGATCCAGTACTGATAATGTAGCAGAAGTCAGAAGCCTTGAGCCAGACAATGACTCACTGCAATGATCATTTGCAAGAAACGCTGTTTGGGTAAAAGGGTTTCTATACTATGTGACACACCGCAGGAACAGAGAGATCAGTAGGATGTGAAATTCACACACACACAAAAAAAAAAGAGCAATAAAAATTATAAAAAAAAAAGAAAAAATTAAACAGTGTCCTCAAATGAAGGTCTACCCAGAACACAACAATGTGCTCTTGCCACAAACAGTTAAGTGGAATCTCACAACACAGCAGGCTTTTCAGATACACAACCATCTCCTGAAGTGACCTGAGCCATAACTCACCTAAGTGTGCCTCTCTGGACAGCTAACTCCAGTAGAATGGCCAAAGCCAAGTGCTGGTCCTGTAGAGGAACTCCTCCTGGCCCCTTGGTCCCTGGTGTTCCATGAACATCCCTGAAATGACAACAACAGGAAGGCTAGGCAACATCAGAGAAAGCAGAAATGTTTGTATCATACCAGCACGCTAATTATATTCTCTCCCATGTAAAAAGGCAAGCTCCTGCTTGCCCACACGCGCACACACACAAAGAGGGAAAATGGAAGGGAGGAAAGATAAGGGAAAGAGCGAGTGAACGGTGCTTTCTTCAGTGTGTAGGACTGAATCTTAGGCCATGGACACACTGGCTGTTAGGCTCTATCACTGAGCTGTAGTTCCTACTGTAGACCTACTAAAGTCTTAAAAAGCATGCATGTCGATATTATATTACACCAAAAGATAAACCCTATGTTTCTAAAGCATAAAATCATTTACATCATTACACAAAAATGAGGAGAATGGTCTTTAATGGGGCTGGGTAGGGTCCTTTGACTAGCATGCACAAGCCCCTGTTTACCATGCCCATTACTCCATAAACGGCATGGGGCTATACAGGGTTATTATAATCCTAGTACTTGAGGCGGAGGCAGAAGGATCAAAAGTTCAAGGACATCCCTAGCTACATAATAGTCTGAAGCCAGCCCAGGCTGCATGTGAGCCTATCTCAAGAAAAGAAGGAAAGGAAGGAAGAAAGGAGAGTGAGTAGGTGGATATGTGTTTACCCATTTTTTTTCCAATTTGAATAAAATATAGTCAACTTTCCCATAGAAGTTAGAGAATTTTTAAAGTCACTAGAAGATCTAAAGGCATGTCTATGCATATTTATATTTCAAATCAAAAAAATATTTCAACTGTTACTCAGTAATAAATAACAAATTTCCTAAACCTAAAATTCAGAAGGAAAGACTTTATAACTGACATTAAAAATTTTAAATTAAATCTGACAGAGCAAAGTACAAGAGTTAATCATTGCTGGTGCACTCTTGAAGGAAATACAACTCTGGCAGCTCCCCTTTCTTTGTTTATTGGCTGCCATGGACTGAACAGGTTCTTCTATAGAGAATTGTGTTGATACAGGTCCAAAGCAACAGGGCCAAGTAAACATAGACCAAAGTCCTTAAAACAATCAGCGAAAACCTTCTCTCCTTTCAGGTGATTGTCCAAGGTTTTTGTTACAGCACTAGTAAACTAACAAACAAGTTCGTAGGTTTTTGGTTTGTTTTCTTTTTCCTGTAGAGAAAAGGATCAAACCCAGTTGTCCTTGTTCAACAACTGTTCTACTACTAAGCTACATCCCCAGTACTAGTCAGAATAGTTTGTTTGAGAAGCCATGTACTCATATAGTATCTACCAAGACTACAAGGTAAGCACCATCAATCCCTAAAAACAAGTCATTCCTCATTATCACCAAGAGGCTCACAAGAAGTGTTCAGTTCAGATGGATGGATGGATGGATGGATGGATGGATGGATGGATGGATGGATGGATAGATGGATGCTCAGTCAAATATCTCCAAAAACCAGTAAATAACAAAAAACAGCTGATATTTTCAATCACATTTAATATGATAGCTTCTTGGGTCAAGTCACAATAATCATGAATTTGATCATCTAAAAAGCTGACAATGGGCCAGAGAACTGGCTTAGTGGGTAAAGGCACTTGCTGCCAAGACTGACTTACCTGAGTTCAATGCCTAGGTCATACATGGTAGAAAAAAAGGCCTTCTGACGTCTGTACATTCACTGTGACACATGCACCTATACATTCACACTCTCTCACACACACAGATACACACACACATACCTCACACACAAACTGTACAAAAAATTTTTAATGTGAATACAAGATCTTGAAAGTGTGCTGAAAACACAGCAGCAAAATCTAGACATCAAGTTCCCTAAGTTGCAATAATATAAGAAGATGAGAATGAGGCTCAAGCATACTAGAGCTATTCCATAGAAATGTAAGGAAAGTACAAACTCACCCAGTCACGACAGACCTGAGGAACCTGGTTGCTCTCTCTACCACCTCCAACCACACTGAGGATACTGTGCTCTCATCAAAGAGGGAGGCTTCAGGAAGAGCTCGAAGGGCATCCAGGGACTCCTGCAAGAGCTCACTGCAGAGATCCGCATCCTCACCTGAGCAACACAGTGAGTCAGAGGAGGCTGCCCACCCTTAGGGACTGCTGACAAATGGAGTTCTAGTCATCCCACTGAGGCTCCAAACCCTCAGGTGAAAACACACATGTAATTCAACAGGCCAAACTCTAACATACCTGTTGAAATTCCATTCCACCTTTGATGTCTCTCACACAAACAATAAAGATTGAGCATCTCTTACATGAAATGTTGAGTGTAGACTCTGTCTGTGTGTCTGTCTGTCTGTCTGTCTGAGTCTCTTTCTCTCTGTGTGTGTGTGTGTGTGTGTGTGTGTGTGTGTGTGTGTGTGTGTGACCTTGAGAGGGGACTCAAGTCTAATTTATTCAGTTCTGTTTCAGGTCTATCTTACACAGAGGAACCTGGAGAAAATCTTATGCAGTATCTGTAGTGGGACTGCATTCCAGCAGCAACGTACCACATGAGGCTGAGTGAGAGATTTTCCACTTGTGAAATCAAGGATCAAAAGACTTGGAGCCTATCAGACTGCATATTTTCAGATTATGGGTGCTCAACTGGTAACCTCTAACTAAAGCTTTCATTCCATGGTAAAGGAATGAAAGATGATGAGATGGAGTTGTAATAAGTGAACACTGATTTAAAACAAAGACCTGAAAACTCAGAGACCTGTAGCCTCTTGCCTTAAAAAAGAATTTAAGGTAAAGAGAACAATGACATTTACACCCCTGAGTTGGTCTCAGGGACCTAGGAGTCTAGCTGGTAAGTGGCCAACAAGAAACTTGCTGTGGCAGAACTGCTCAGGAAACCCAAAACAGAAGTTTTTTCTCTATGAAGGCAACAAAATGGCACACTACACACATACCTGAACGCCAGGCCCTCCGTAAGAAAGCAAAGGCAAACGAGAGTGCTGCTCGGGATCCGACTCTGGCAAGTCCTTCTACACCTCTGCCTGTGGGACGGGCACTGCAAATAAACACATCAGCTATACCAACTGGTCAGTCAGAAGACAATGAAAATAATAAAATAAAGTAAGACCAGGATATGACCTATGTATGGTCTACTTTAGCTATCAGGGTCCTTTGTGGGATTTAGTGTCGATTTTTTATACTTTGGATAAAATATCCTTTGTAAAGGAAGTTTCTCTGTGAGGATCTCCACAGTACAGGGAGGCTCTGTGCACTTCTCTGTGAGAGCTTCAATAGCGTAGGGATGCTGTGTCAACATCTATGAGTGGCTATTAAGGAAGAAGAGCTATTTGCTACTTCCAGAGGAGGATGCCAGGAACACAGGAATATATTTCTGAATTAGAAATATAAGTATTACAAAATAGAGCCTTTAAAGCTATATACTTATGTTAAATCTGATCAGAAGAGTTTAGAAGACTATTATCAACATTTTCCCTTGAGGAAAATTGTTCCTGTGACACCATGAAACTCAGCTCTCCCCAAGACAGTCAGAATCTCTTAGCCCCAAAAAAGAACCTACAGCTCTAAGCCAGTATAAAAACCACTCTCAAAATAATAGCCTCTTTTTTTCTTACTATTGTTTCTTGTATGTGTGTGTGGGTGTGGGTGTGAGCGTGTGTATATGTACACGCACACACACAAATAAATACAATCTACTATAAATTTTAATTTTAGGAATTCCTTCGACCAATGAAAGATATTCCAATTAAGTCACTAATGCTTAAGTGAACTGAGCACTCAAGACAATTCTGTATCTTAGGTTGATATGTCAACACACAAGAGTAAAGTCTCTTAGCATCAACCACTCACATATACAGAGCTCTCAGAGCAGTGACCATCACTGTGGGCTGCTGTCTATGTGGTCAGAAAATAAAAACCTATGCCCCAACATGATGTAGTAATATGTAAGCAGAAGCTGTTGTGTCTGGCTTTGTGTCAGTGTTTTTGACTGGCCAGCTAATGGCTGATGTTGGTCATAGGTGCCACAGTAGAGAGAGAGAGGCCCACCAAGATGCTAAGCTTCTAAGTTTTAAAGGAGCAGAGGGGTTCAGCCTTCCTGAAAAAAGACTGACCCCGACTAGCTCACTCCAGTTACTTTTATTCAATCATTGCACAAAATTAATTGGGGCTGGGAAAGGTTCTAACTACCAGTGTTATCTTGTTCTTGCTGCCTGAGATAGCAGACAACCACACAAATCTCAGTCTCTTTTGAGCATGGCTAGCCTTAATCAAAAGTAAGAAGTCTACGTTTGTCTGGAGTGTCTTAGGACCAAGGTTTATCCAGCTGCAAGTTCTCATACAACACCACGTGCATACTTTCCAGGGAGACTACAGTTCTTCAAGGTTCAAACTGTCTCAAAACAATTTCTTAACCTCTGCTGATTGACCCAAACATAGCAAAGGCCTTGCTGAGAAACTTCACTCACAACCAGACACAAAGTGTACCTATCACTACATCAACTATTTTCAAATGGAAATAAACCCCAGAGGTCCCTTGGTACAGTTAACATGAAAACTTACTCTAAGTATGACAACATGATTCTGATCAGATGTAACAGGGAGCGGGAGGATAGGAGAAGGGAGGTGTGAGGACAGAGGAGAGAGAGGGAGAAGACAGCAGAGTAGAGATAAGGAGAGGGCGAACCAAATCAAGTTACGATGAACACTTGTCTGCAAGATGGATGAGGGTCCCCACACTTCCTGCTGAATTTGCAACACAGTTCCCATGTGCATTCCAAGGAATGACAGTCACTATCACAACCAAACAAACAAGCTCTGAACCATGTAAAACATGGTTACCCTGACACTGTTCTGTGGACAAGAATTTTCAGTTACATTCAGAAAAAGATACAATTTTACATGAGCCTTAAATATTTTAGTAGATACTAGTTAATACCATGGGGGAAATATGCTGATATATTAACAAATATCCACAAATTTAAAAACTGTATGTCTAGAGGTATCTTTAGTAATAGAGAAACTGTCTTTAAAAAAGAGCCAGAACTTACACGGGAATGGCAAAAGGGTTCTCCCATTTTTATTTTTACCTTTTCTTCTCCGTGGGAGGGACAGAAATGCTGCTGCTTTTCCACTTAACTTTGACATTCTCCTGGAAAACAGTTCTGTTCAAGGCAATGAAATAGCGCTCAAGGATCACCAGCCTCTGCTTCAACCTCAAGGCTGAGAGTGTAGTGGTAGCTGACTGAACAGCCAGGGCTTGCTGTTCTTTAACCAGCACAGAAAGACACTCCTTCAGTTCATTCACATCTGAAATACAAAGTAAGAAAACATTCTAACTTGTCAGTATCTTGGGCATGGCTGTCAATAATACTGAGAAATTAGACAATAACAATAGAAAACATCTAAGTAAACAATACTGCCCAAAGCATTAAACACTGTGCACATAGCTGGTAGTACTGTATGTCCACATAAGAAACTCAGGCAGAGAGGTTAAAGAACTTGACTGAAATCACATAAAGGGAGTATACAGCACAGGACATGGATAGCTTTTGGGCTCCATTGTCTACTGATTCTCTGTAATCACCATGTCCAAATTGCTAATACAAAACTGAAGAACCCTTGCTTAGCAATGCACAAGGCCCCGGGCTCAAGGCTAAACGAATAAACAGATCCTCAAAACTATAAAGGCAAACTTCTTAACAGCCCACTTCCTGCATGCTGATAAGAGCCTGATATGGATATCTCCTCAGAGGTCTTCAAGAGTCTGACATACTCAGAGGCAGATGCTCACAACTAGCCATTGAACTGATCATGGGGTTCTCAATAGAGGAGTTAGAGTGAAGACTGAAGGAGAGCTGAAAGGATTTGCGGCACCATGAGGAGAGCAACAATACCAACCAACCACAGCTCCCAGGGTCTAAACCACCAGCCTGGGAGCACTTAGGGAGGGATCCAGGGCTTCAGCTGAATATGTAAGAGTGGAGGGCCCTGCTGGGCATAGATGGAAGAAGAGAACCTTGACCGAATGAAGGCTGGATGCCCCAGTTGGTGGGAATTTTGAGGGTGGGGAGGTGGGGGGGGTAGATAGAGGTTACATCCACAGAGAAGAAGGAGGAGGGGTGAGGGGATTGGGGGTTCCTGGGAGGGTGGGGGATGGGGTAAGGGGACAACATAGGAAATGTAAATAAAACATCCAATAAAAAAAAAGACAAAAAAAAAAAAACAGCCCACTTCCTATAGAAAACCTCTAACCACTTTGCTATGCAACTACAAGTCAAAAAGTACAGGGGTAAGTAGGTGGGTGTGTGCGCGCATGCTCATGTGCAGTGTTTCTGTGCATGTGTGTAGACAACTGCACATGTGTATGGAAACCAGGATAACCTTGGGTGTCATTCTTCGTGTACTATCTACCTGGTTTTGGAACAGGGTTTCTCACTGTTCCAGGCCAAGTCCACTAGGCTGGCTTCCCAACAAGCCCCAGGGATTTGACTGTCTCTACCACCTCAGTGCTAGAATTTAGAAATGAGAACTACCACACCCTATTTGTTTTACATGTATGCTGCAGATAGGTCTTCCCAAACCCAAAAGTAGTATTTCAACACATTTAGTATGAATGACAAATGAATGAAATGCATTATGGAACTATTTTATTAGAAGATAAAGTAGTCAGGTTGTATAATAAATGCTTGATCTATTTTCTCTAGTGGATGTTTGAATTTTTTCTCAAGAGTTTTTGGTTGTTTTTTGGTTTTGTTTTTTTTTTTTTAAGTAGCTATAAGACAATCACATGAACAATATAACTTAAAAAATCCTGGCCTACCAACTAAGTTACCTGACACTGCAAACTCTACAGCTGTAAATTAAATTACCTGTCACCAAGCCCCATGCTAGCAAGCTCCTGTGTTTATGTGCTGTCTTTACTACAACAGTCCCCAGCCTCTAAGACTCAGGCCCTGACAGTCAATCACAAAGCCACGTCCAACCTCCTTTGAATGGAAGATATCAGTTTTCTGGCTACCCATCATTTGAGCATGCTCTCCATAGGAAGTAGTTTTTAAAAAGCATTGGAGAGTACATCTCACCACTTCCCAGGACTCAACTTCACTCCTGGCCATCAGGCACTGCAGGTAGAATGCCAGGGGCCTGCACACTGGCAATCTAAAACTGAAATGCCCAAGAGCTGACAGTCACAGAAAACAAGATGAGCAACACCTTGAATTCTATATTGGTCTCAAGGTGGAAATCAGAATTTCTACATTGTAGAAATACATGGTATTTCTGCTTTTGAGGTGGAGGGTGTTTAGACCTCCAACTGATTTCCTTAGTGACTAAACTTATAGTCCCATCAGCAATGTATAAGGGTTCCTTTATTGCCACATCCTCATCAGCATTTGTCATTTGCCTTCTTAATGATATGCATTCTGTCTGGGGGTAAAATAGCATCTCAATGTTTTAATATATTTATTTCTCTTCTGCCAGTATGAAAAAAAATCCTAAAAGTTCATGTACCTAATTACATGATTTAAAAATACATGAAGTAAAGCCTGAAGAACTGAAGGTCCACAACTAATCCTAAAGGCGTCAATATTCCTAGTACTGAAGAGAAGATAAGCAGTCAGACTTTGATTTACTTCTCTCACCACAACAGAGACACTAGAAAAACAAAGGAGACAGAGAAGAAGGCCCAATCAAGGGAGTGTAGGGGAAGACTTCATGTACAAAAACTCTTGACATGTGCTAAACAAGCAGTGCTTCTCGCTGACTACTTTCAGCAAGCACATCTGAAACCCACAATGAATGGAACAGAACCTGTGATGATTATAAGTAGTCTAAAATTCTACATATAAAATGGAAGCTCTGCACACCCTAAACGGCCTTACTGTATGAGGAGGCCATATACGTCAGTGCAATCTCACTTCATGCACTGGGCCAGAAAGCAGGTGTCTAAGACAAAACGGTCTAAAACCATTCCACAGTTCTCCCTGTTCTTGTTTCTGTTATCTCATTACCTACATCCTTCAAACTAGAAAGCAACCTGCTATGGTACAGAGTGCCAACACTGGAGTGATAATCCAGCCTTATGTATTAGTGCAATTCCTCACCCAATAATGTACAGAACAAGTAGGAATAATGTCCATCAACAGATGAACAGATAATCAAAATGTGGCATGTATACACAATGGGAGTCATATTCAGTCGCAAAAAAAAAAAATGAAATAATGAAATCTGAAGGAAAATGGATGGATCTGCAAAGTATAATATTAAGTGAGGTGACCCAAACTCAGGCAAGAATTGAATATCCTCCATCGTGAGGATCAGAAGCTGTAATGCATACATGTATGCATATAGACAGGTATAAGTGTGAATAAAGGAGACTACAAAGGAAGGCAAAAATAGGTGAGAAGGAAGGACGAGAGTGGGTAAAAGAACACCTAGGACATGAAAGATGATAAAGAGATGGTCTCTTACAAGGAGGAGTTGAGGAGAAGCAGATCAATACAACATATTTCATTTGAAAATGTCATAATGATACCTAAAACTGTGCATGCTAATTTTAAAGTAATACCAACAAAGAACATTTGGACTATATCAACTAACTTGACTGGATTAAGATTCATACAATAAGGCTTGGGCTGTAACTCAGTGAAGGGCTATCTAACATGTATAGCCTGGCTTCCATCCTTAGAACTGTAAAGCACAACAAAATTCTATTAAAGATTCACTGTGTAAGACGGGCAGTGGTGGTACATGCCTTTAATACCAGTACTTGGGAGGCAAAGGCAAGCCCATCTCTGTGAGTTCCAGGCCAGCCAGGTCTACACAGAGAAACCTTGTCTCAGGGGGAAAAAATAATATATAATGTTCTTCACAAGTACATAGGAAACAATCATCAAAGCACATTATATCTTGAGCCGTAACACAAGACTCAACAAATTTTAAAGGAATTAAATTATACAAAATGTTTTATTAGCCAACAAAATTAAATTAGCTTATAAAAAGACCCTGGGATCAAGCCCCAACACATATGAAAACAAATTTTGAAACAAATATGCATCAGATATTTTAAAGATTTAAATTAAATATAATAAAGAAAAACTAAAGAAGAAAAGTGTTATTTTATTTGCTTGGATAAAAAGAAGAGATGAATTTCAAAATGCTAAAAAAAAATACATATAACTAAAAAATAAAAAATATATTTTCATGAGCAAAAATTTGAATAAATATTTCTCCAAAGAACATTTACAGATCAGTAGGTATATTGAAAAAACAATGTTCAAGATCATTAAATATAAATATAAATCAAAACAATAACACTCCATTTCACACTGACTGGATGGATATTATCAAAAGGAAAATAACAAGTGTTATCAAGGACCTGGAGAAATTGAAACCTTTGTGTACTATTCAAAGAGTGAAAAACAGTGTGGTCTCTGGAAGACACTGTCCCAGTGCTTTAAAAAGTTCATTCTGGTATTAACATGGCCTATTAATGGTTCCTTGGGAATACATACAGAACTAAAAGCAGTGACCTTACACAGAGTCTGGCCAAGCATGTTCATGGCAGCAGCACACATCTACTCAGGGCACAATGACAATGAACCAGAGCTCAAGGCCAAGAGTGGTACTCACTAGGAGAGACTGCCTTCAGACTAGCATATAGAGGCTTGGTGGTTAATAATGGTTACAGTTTTTCACACTTAGAAAGGTTGTTCCTTTTGTAGTTTTTCTATAGAGAATGTTTTTTTCTGGCTTCATTTGTTTATTTACTTTTATATGCATGTTTATTAGAGTTGTTTCTGACTCTACTACTTGGAAACTCATAGAAATTGAGCTTCCTAGATTATACCTATTTTTTTAAAAAAAGGTTACTGTTATGAAAAAAAAAAAACAAGAGAGAAGTAAACCAATAGTCCACTAACTAGTGCACAAATAATAAAAATATGCACACAAAACAGTGACATTTAAAACATTTAAAAGGACACAGTATGGATGAACTTAAAAGTATACTAAGCAAAATAAGCTAGATAAAATGAATAAATACTATCTGAGTCTATTTATATGTGGTGCTTTTGAATAGTGAAGTGCAGACTTCAAAGTTGACTGTGGCTACCTGGGGAGCTGCAGAGGTAGTGTTCAATGGATATGGGTGGTAGAAATTTTATGCCATAGTATGAACTTACGTAACATATATATAACATATGTGTAGTGTAAGTTATATAACTATACACTTAAAATGGTTATAATGGTTATGTTTTATATCAGACATATTTTTACTGTAATACAGAGTTTAATTTTAGAAAATTCCATTAACCAACAAAAACTTGATCCACTGCTGTCAGAAAGTGTAATACCTGGCTGCTTGCCCCACACCCAACTCTCCAGGATTGATTTGGCTCTACACACAGGTGCAGGTGTCTCCTCTTCCTCCTTCTTCTCTTTGTCATTAAGATCTTCTTTCTTGGTTCCACTCTGAGTATCAACACCATCATCTGGAAAATTAAAAATGTTTAAGTCCATAATTGTTTTTCAAAATGAAACAATAAAGCTGGGCATGGCAGCTCATGCCTATAATGCACAGCACATGCGTTTAAAGCTGCCCTGGGTCACATGATAAGTTCCAGGCCAGCCTAGGCTAGAGAGTAAGGTCTCAAAATAAAGACAGAAGAAAGAAAATGAATGAGGGAAGGAGAGAACACGTCTTAAGTTGAAGAAAAAGGGGGAAAGTACATCTTATCAATTACTACAAATGCTCTTCCCAAACATGAGAGAGCTACAGCACATGTCAGTTACTCAATGTTTTAGGTTTTTAAAAACACGTGAGTTAAAACTACAAAAGGGGCTGGAGAGATGACTCAGCAGTTGAAAGTACTGGCTGCTCTTCCAGAGGTCCTGAGTTCAATTCCCGGCAGCCATACAGTGGCTCACAACCATCTGTAATGGGATCTGATGGCCTCTTCTGGTGTGTCTGAGGGCAGCTACAGTGTACTCATACACACACAAACACACACACACACACACACCCTACAAACAAAAGATTCAGCATAGTTTATTTAGTAATTAATGAATACAAACAATATAAGGAATTTGTAGTTCTTTAACACGTGAAGGTTTTTTTTTAATATTGTATCTATGTTCTACTAGGTTTCATAACTAAGAAAGTTCACCTTTAATGCTTATCTATCTGTACTTTATATAAAGTGCTTTAATTCAGTGACTCTAAATTGCTGAATCACCAAAGGGAGAATTAGGGAGACAACAGTAAAGTAATGTTTAAACTATACAATGTCCTCCTCTACTGCCATCTGAGAACCACTGCTACACGAGAGCACTCTCACTGAGATGGCAAATGGCTCAGTGAAGCATGACAATCGGAGTTCAATCCCCAGAGCCCAGAAGTTCTTGTCCTCTGATCTCAACATACATGCCATGGCACGTAAGCACACACACACACAAACACACACATACAAAATAAATTTTAAGAACCATCATCACTAAAGTATAAATCAGGAGCACTGAGACATAAAAGAAAAGTAGAAAACTACTACCTCAGGCCACTGTAAAGTCTCAGACAGTAATAAGCGCCTTGAAACCCCTTACAGGGTTTTGAAGAGAAAATGGAAAAACTCTGAGTGTCAGTAAGTCCAGTCATAAGAGGCTCTAACTAAAATAACCATATAAATAGACACACACACACATATATATACACAATACACATATTACATCTTATAGTGTGTGTGTATGTGCGCACACATGTGTGCATTTGTGTTTCACACCAACCAACTCTCTAATTCTCTGTTAACACCAATTCTATGTCCAGCAATTTAATTCAATTCTGGTAGTGACTAACTGAAGAACAGAACACACAGATTAAGGGCTCTGCTTCCACTTCAGATGCCAATTACAAGCAGTAGGTTCTGGGTAACACACAACTTCTGTTGGCCTGACCTACAAGTAGTAGGTTCCCATGACCCTCTCCTGCCTGATAGATATGACCTGGTTATATTGCTGCCATCGTAAATTATAACCACCATGGCTACCAAGAGGAGACTTACTGTGGGATCCATCTGGTCTTTCTGCCACCAAGGCCCAAAGTTCTATAAGTCCCAATAAACTGTGCTCGCTACAATTCTAATCTGTCTGCCTCCCTTTCTTTCTTTTCATGGTCTTGCTTGCAGCCTGTCCTCAGATATTAGCATGGGATTTTTCTGGAACAGACACCAAATGGCAAAAAAGAAAGAACTAAATAAACCGAAGAACCTCACATCCTATTTACATAACAGTAAAGGCACATGAACTACTCTACTGCTATATCACTGGATAAAGTAGACTCTAGGAGGATGAGAGGAGCTACACTAGGAGTTTGGACAATGATGAAACTACCCAGACTAAGGTGGACACTACAGGAATCCACACATGTAAAGTTTACTGTATTAGAGATCATACTACCTACTTTTACCTCTTCAGGATGGAAATTTTTTCACAGTTAACAAGAACATCTCCAAACACACCTCAGGCTTTACTCTCAGGAGCACAAGTCAGAATACCACAGCCAGAACAAGAAAAGTCCCTCAAGAGCATGATGAACATTACAATAATTAGCAACAACAGCTCACAGGAAAGAAGCTCACTTTAGTGTCTATGCGCTCTCCTTTTCATGACGGCAGGAATCAAAGATACACAAATTATCCAAACACATAGTAAATTAAGAAATGCTGGAAAGAACATAGAGGTGTAGCTCAGTAGTACAGCACATTACTAAGCATATTCTATCCCCAGCAGTACACTTGCACACATGCATTTACACACACACACACACACACACACACACACACACACACCCTTGTTCCAGAGAAGAAAAAGACCAAGGGCTAACATTCCTAAGGCCCAGGAAGTCCTAAGGGTTCTCAGCAAACAGAAGTCCAGGTTGCTTGTTACCTCATCTGAGGACCAGCTAGCAACTGACTAATCTTAGGACGTTGAGCTGATGAGGACATCTGTACAAACTACCCAAGGTCATCTCTGCTCAAAGCACCGAGCCTAAGACCTAGAGAGCTGCTACTGACTACGTGGAGAAGGGCCCAAGAGGAGTAAATTGACTAATTTCAGACAAAACAAAATAATAGTCCAGCCGGATAATGTAGCCTAAACTAAAAATCTTGTACTTTTAACATTTTCTGTACATCAATCTAACTTTTGCATATCATAAATACTAAAAGGCTTCATTATTTAAAACAAGTTTTATAGGCTGAGTATAGCACAGCAGAGTCTAACATATCTGGGTCTGCCTAACGTGACACGGAGTTTTGCCTAGTATGCTGGAAACCCTGGGTTTGATACAAAAAATAGATTTTGTTTTGTATTTGTTCCTGTCAGCTTTGGGGTCAGCTTACCTGGGGCACACAGAGCAGCAGAAATAAGACCCTGCCTTGAAAATCAAGGTGGAAGGAAAGAACTGACTCCTATAGTTATTCTCTGACCTCCACATGCACACTTGCTTCCACACGTCAACACACATACACAACCTTCCCCACACACACACTAATGAAGCAAGCATCTAAGGAAGCCAGATGAGACACATCATGGATGGACACAAGTGATAAAATGAACAAGGTGAGCCAAACAGTGAGGGCATGAGTTTGTATCTATTCACTGTATGTATCTTTCGATTACTCTGTGTGTAGACAGAAATTTCCACATAAATACAAGAAACAGAGCTCCCTTACTAGATGATGTAACAAAAAACATAAGCTAATAGCACTTTCCCTGACGTACTTTCCAGTCAACAGTATACTAATTCATTACACAAAGAGAAACACCATGCATTCTAAAAGTAAGCTGGGTGGTGTTAGTGCCATCTTTATTCCCAGCACTCAGGATGCAGAGGCAGACCAGCCAGGTCTACAGAGTAAGTTCCAGAACAGCCAGAGAAATATTGTCTTGAAAAAGAAAAAAAAAATAATTCTAAAAGTAATGATTTTTTGATATTGGAATAACACTCAACAAACTCTGCAGTGAACTGTAACTGGGGCTTTTCAGATAAAACACATCTGAATAAATGCTGCCATTCACCCCTTTTTTAAAAGTCTTGATGCTGATTTGAATCACCAGGCAAGTCAAGAATCACACACTGAGTTGTGTTGAATCTATCACTACAGGCCTATACAGGATTATTATTCACTGATAGAGGTTTATAGAGAAACAATTGTCATCCACTCTCACAATAATCAATATTTATTGTTAGTTATGGGAAGATCTGTTTCAAAGTTTAAAGGAAAAGCTATTCGTCATAACTTCATGCAGGCTATACATTAGTTAACACAAACAAAACATCTGGATAATTTGAAATATTAACTAACATTATAGACAAAAATGACCAAAGGGAAAACAAACATCCAAAGACCAATGCTCAAGTGCTCCTGTTTTCTGGCATATATGCAACGTTTCTGTAAAAGGCAATTTATAAACACAATAAAAATTATTTTTAAAGGGGGAGAAGGAGATAGCTCAGTATACAAAGGTACTTATCACTAAACCACACAACAGAGAGAACCATATATTTATACCCTGACATGCATACCACAGCACCTGCATGCACACAGACACACACACACACAAACACACATGTGTGCACACGCACGCACATGTAATTTTTAAATTCTTTCTTTAACATGCCATTATAACAGTACTTAGAAATAAAAAGATAAGCATTAAAAGTTCCTACCTTTTCTAGAAGGAAGTTCCCTATTTTGTGTTAATTCTGTTCCAGTGTATACAATTTCCCCATCTTTAACCATTTCATTCCACAGACCACAGAGTCCATCTCTTGTGAATGCAAGCTGGCAAATACAAAAAAGATAAACTTAGAGAGATCAGTATAAACATTTTTCATTCGAAGATTTTATATTTTTGACAATTTCACATGTGTATTCTATCTATGTCATTTCCACCCTTCTGCCTTCCAACTCCTATCCCCACCATCTCTTTAAATTCATGACCTCCTCTTCTGTGCCTATTATTACTACATACATGCATACACATACACACACACACACACACATATATATATATATATATATTACACACATCTACAAAATATACACAACTTACTGTGTCTACCTAGTGTTACTCATATGTGTTTAGGGCTGATCTTCAGAGTGAATAACCCAGGGGGTTCATCACTGAAGCGAATTGATTCTCTCAGCAGCTACAGACTGCCGATAGCTTTTGATCTTGGGTGAGACTTTGTGAAATTCCCCCATCCACACTGGCATGTCAATTGATGCTGACATTGTGTACAGTCTTTTTTAGATAACTCTACTACTGAGTTTTCATGGGTACATTACCCCGTCATGTCTAGAATATACTAACTCACAGTAGGCATCCTGGTTCTCTGCCTCTTAAAAAATCTTTCCATCCCTTCATCTATGATGTTCCTTTTGCCTTAAATGAGGGGGCTGTATTATATCAATTGGGCTGGGCACCCCATTACTAGTTACTTCAATGACCAGCTATGAATCTCTGTAAAGCCTCCGTCTGCTACCAAAAGAAACTTATTTAATGAGAAGAGAGAACTACACACATGACATATACATACTTATTTAAGATATGTAAGTATCTATCTGTAGATATATGTTTAGAATACAGTTAGAAATTGTATCAATTTAGGAAAATGGAAAAGTAGGTTCACCTCTAAGGTCTATGACTTCTCCAGCCACAAATAGTTAACAAGGTTTATACTATCACGCATGAATGTCCTCCTATTAAGCTGACAGTAAGAAAATTAGACAGCTGGTAGTTATCCCCAAAATAAAAGTGCACCTACTACACCATTGGGGATATCTTACTGGGTCAGTGAGAACTGCAGTTTGCAGGCTTCATAGCTGGGTAATACTGATTACTTTTTCCCTTGCAAGATTACATACCATCTTCTGATACTATGAGAGCTAGCCCTCATACGGGAGACCTTCAAGATAGTTCTAGCTCAATTTCTCCAAGTCCTGTGTTCAAAATGTATAGTGTTTCAGTGACTGAGTCGTTGTTGTTGTTGTTGTTGTTGTTGTTGTTGTTTTTTAAGACAGTTTATCTGTGTAGCCCTGGCTATCCTGGAGCTCACTCTGTAGACTAGGCTGGCCTTGAACTCAGATCTGCCTTTTGAGTGTTGCGATTGAAGGTGTGGTCCACCACCTACCAGCAAGATGTAAAAAGATCATACAACAACAGCACTAAGGTCAAAAAGCACATTGTGTAACAGTGTGCACACTGTACTGATTTATTAGTGAATCACTTCTCTGGTTATCACTAAGTATCCTAGGCCATCCTCAGCCTTCCTTGTGGTAGGATTACAATAATGTGTCACAATAAAACGTCTTATACAAATGGGTTTCCTAACATTTTCACATATCATCTAAGGTATTTTGATCACATACACTCTATTATGCACAGTCATCTTCATAGATATATTTATTTCTGGTCTAGTCCTTAAGAATCCCCCTACTTTTATTTTAAAAAGAAAAAAAAAAAGATTCTACATACTACAGAAAACAAGTTTTGCCTTTCTGAATCTAGCTTATTTTGCTCATAAGCATCATTTCCTCAAAAAATGACCTGAACTTGTTTTTCTTAATAGTTGAAAAACAGTCTTTTGTGTGTGTGTCTGTGTGTGTGTGTGTGTCTGTGTGTGTGTGTGTGTGTGTGTGTCTGTGTGTGTGTGTCTGTATGGGGGGGCAGAGAAGGAGAGAGACAGAGAAGGAAGGAAGGAGGGGCGGGGGAGCAAGAGTGTGAGCATATGGAGAAAGAGAGAGAGAAATAGAGAGGGAGAGAGAGGGAGAGAGAGGGAGAGAGAGGGAGAAAGAGGGAGAGAGAGGGAGAGAGAGGGAGAGAGAGGGTATTTTATATATGCACCATGGTTTGTTTGTTTTTTTACTTATTCCCTTACTGATGGACACCAAAGCTGATGTCATGTCTTGGCAGTTGAGACTAGAGAACTGTAAGCATGGGTACTGCAGTGAGCATCTACCATATGCAGTCTTTGATTCCTGTGAGTACATTCCCTGTCAACAGTACATAAGGGTTCCTTTTTCCTACCATTCACATCATCATTTGTTTTTGTCTTGATAACAGCTATCCTGTAACTACCTCTATGTACAGAGGTAGAAACAGGCATAGGATCCCCTAGATCTGGAGTTCCAGACAATTATGAATCACTAAGTATGTCCTGAGAACTGAATCAGGTCTTCTGCAAGAGCAGTGAGTGCTTTTAAGTGCTGAGCCATCTCTCCAGCTCTAAATTCTTCTATACTTTTACTCCAGTTCTTAGAGTGGTTCTCTCCCAACCACTCTATGCAAGTAAATATTCAGATCTCATCTTTATATATTATTTATGATGACCAATAACTGGATAAGATAGTCCCAAATTCTGGTCCTGTCGGGCATACATTCAACTTGTATTCTCTGTAGGCAGGCATTTCCTTAATTAGTGAGTGATGGGGGAAGAGTCCAGCTCATTGTAGGTGATGACGTCCCTGGTCCTGAGCAGGCTGAGCAAGCTATAGGGAGCCAGCACTTTTCCATGGCCTATGCATCAGTTCCCACCTTCAAGATCCTGTCATGCTTTAGTTCTTGTCTTGACTTCCTTCAATGATAAACAGTGTTATGGAAGTACAAGTCAAAAAGCCCTTCCATCTCCCAATTTGGTTTTGGTTATGGTGTTTCATTACAGCAAAAGAAACCTTAACTAGGACAGTAATCTTTACTTAGCCAAAATAATTTTTTCTCAAAGAGTTAATCACATACCATCAACAGTTCTCCCCACTAATATATCATAAATATAAACCTAGATTTTACCCAGTGCTCCAAGATAGAAGACCAAATCTGGAAACTGCAACAAGTGAGTTATATATGACAGATTACAGGAAATGGCAACATCCCAAAAGAGATGGAAGGCCACCATGCTCATCCCCAAATGCATTCTAGGATTGCCAGAGATTGGCTGGTATCCACATAGCAGTGTTCTGAAATAAGCCTAGATCAGAGACACTGGTGGTCAAAAATGATTTTAAAAATTGTGGGTAATAATGGCAGGAGGGACTGAGAGCAGACAGTGGGAGCAGGAACCTGAGCAACCATATCTTCAACCACAAACAGGAAGAAGGAACTAGACGTGGGGTGAAGCTATAAACTCAGAAATTCCACACCTATTGAAGCAGTTCTCCAGCAAGGCTTCGCCTAATGGTTTCATATTCTCTTCAAACAGTACCAACACTAAGAACCAAGTGTTAAAATATGTAAGCCTATGAAGGACATTTCTCATTCAAACCACCACAATAATTATTCATCGATTTCTTCAGAAGTCAAACTTTCCATCCAGAAAGGAAAAGGGGCAGCTCATAAGACTAAAAAGTAAACAACTTACAAGTCTCAGAAAGTCCTTAAAACTAACAAGATTTACAAGGACCCCTCCTTGAGATTACAGAAGCAGTAAACAGATGCCTAGAGAGGAAACTATCAAATCTATCAATCACCTGCAAACCAGCCACAGAGCTCCAGGGTTAGTTTTCATGAATCCCCACTCAGGCAGAGGTAGGCTTTTAGTGATGCAGCAGCCTTTGAGTCATCCCTGGCCTATAAACCCAAGAGTTCACCATGTTGGATTTCGGTAGAAAAGTTACTTTTTTCTGTCATCCCTCCCCTATGTACAATTAAGAGATGTGGTTGTCATCTCCTCAGGAAGAGTATGGAATAGAAGCTGTGTGTACAGCAAGTAATTTTTTCTTGAAAGGCAGAGTGGACATCTTGAGGAAAGTGTGAAGGATTGTAGGACCTAATAACCAACAGACATGAAACATGGGCTCAAGCAACACAACTGCAACAGTGAGAACATGTACTGAGCAAGCATCAAGTAGTCTTAAGAAGGGTATGCCTCAGTGGTTAAGACAAATTATCTAAGAATAAAGGCGATATGGACCAACCTAACTAAGCATTAAAATAGAGCTCTGAAAACAAATTGATCTAAAGCAATTTATATATATGCTAAAGCAAAATTCATTCTCATTTTTTTATTTTCATACACATATATATTGTACATTAACCATACCCCCATACTCTCAATCTTTATTTCTTTAAAAAACAACAACAACTAAATCCACTGCCAGGTACTATAATATATACTTGTTCTCACAGACATTCAGAAGGCTGAAGCAGTTGGATCAAAAACATATAAAGTCAGCCTAGGAAACAGAGTGTGACTCCATCTCAAAACTAAAGACATAATACAAAATGTGACATAAAATAACATATTTATTATAATGCTCATTATTTAATAACCTTTTAGCAAACATATATCAACCTATAGCTAGAGCAACTGATCAATACAAATAAAAGAGTCATTCAACAGACTGGTATCTGTGACTGACTCGGCAGATAAAAGCATTAAAGGCTCTATAAAAAACAAATCCAAATGGAGTGATGCAAAATACTACAGTGAGAATCTCAATTGTATACTGCTATGCCAGTCTGCTCCTATCCCCTAAACACACAAGGAGTCCATGCTGATCCCTTCCATGACCACACTGGACCACTAGTAGTGCTATCTGGGTCTGCAGTCATGTGATAGCAAAGAACTTCCTTTCTCTACTCATTCCTCACAAGCCCAGGAGAAATCTTCCTGGGGTATTCTCTAACATCCAGGCTGATCTCACATATGTAAGCCAAGCTTTCAACCACTGAACTATATATCCAAAATTTCCAGTCTTTCCTTTCTCCCTTTTCTTTCTTCCCCACCCTGCTCTGAAATTTTTAAGATAGTGCCTTACTGAGGTGAAGTACCCAGACTAACCTC